GTAGTAGTTTGATGTAATCACAATTTAAATTTCTAAACATTGGGTAATTTTTTCTAATTTTGCAACAGAGAAGGCAAACTGAAAGAAGCAATTCTCAGAATAATCCTAAGGATTGCTTAATCATTGACTCATTTAATTTTTTATGATGAACTTTTAGATTACTTAATCTTGAAGATGTTTCCAGAACAGAATCAAAAGAAATTATCAATGAAATTTATTTTGGTTATTCAATGGCTTTGCCACAGAACTACATAAGATTAAGGAATTTAGGATATCAAATAATATTTCCATTAATAATATAAATCTTTATTTAATTACTATTCAGTCTTAATTAAAAAAATTAAATTAAGAACCATTAATATCAAATTACATAATTAGTGATAGATTAGATATCAGAATAAGTTTTCTTAAATGACTCTAATGATATAAATAAAATTTTGATGTTAAAATTTCTAAGCAAAATCTTTTTTTTGGTTGAACTTGTTGATCGAAAATTAATGATTATACTAATTAAGTTTATGGGCTATCAACTAATTAAAATGCTGATAAATTATTATCCTGTTGTTGAAATGGAAATAGATTATATATGTAAAAATATTAAGAAGGATTTTTGTTCGTTAAGTAGAATTTTGAAAAAATGTATGAATCTAGATTAGCTTAAATATTAATGATTTTTTACTTTTTAATCTTGAATAATAATTCATAATAATTAATTATATGGTTCATAAATTCTTTTCCAATATTATTTTAACTCTAAAACACAATGCTATGTTAAATTCTTATAAATATCAGTAAAGGAAGTAGTATAATGGTGTCATTTATTGTTCCCATTGATAGATATCTCATCCTAAAAAATACTAAAGATAAACAGAAAATTTGATAAGTCTGAAAAAAAACCTTATGAGTTGAATTAAATTAGAGTATATGTTGATTTTAGCAATGTTATAAATAAGATAATATATTAAGGATAATTATTTGAAACAATAGTGGATTATTATTAATCTTATGAGAAGGATTTTCCAATTAGATATAAATTAAATAATAAAAAGGGAAGAGCTTATATTATTAATCATTTATAATTTATAATGAATAATATATTTAAATAATTACCCATTCAAAATACATATATAATTTTAAATAACATATATCAAAAATACTTATATTTCTTTGGAATATTTTAATGATATCTCATTATTGATTTATGTATTTTCTAATTTGAATATTAAATGAATTAATATCCCATAATACAATATATTGTCCATCCTAACTCATAGAGCCAAACAAAAAGCTTTCATTAAATTCAATCACTTGTTCTAATTTGCAAGTCCAATCACCTTAACTATCCATTTTCTTAACTCCTTCTTTGGAGATTGGAAATTTGAATTTTACTATATTGACTTTATTTCCACTCTTTATTAAAAGGGTGTCTGTGTTAGAAGAATAACATGGAGGGAATAATCCAAAACAAGAATCACCAGGTTCTGCTATTTTTAAATGATCTAATGATTTTGTGAAGTGCTAATGCTAGTTTTAAATGAAAAAGTGAAGCTAAGTTCCCTTATTTTGTAAGACTGTCAAAATATCATTAGTAATAAAACAAATTCGAATAATTTCTTAAGGGAATTTTATTTTTTATTTAACATACCATTAAGATTATTAATCTGGTTCCATTATTAAAAAGAATTTCTCATCTGAACAGGATACTAATTTTTTTCCTTCATAATTAATTGCCAAATCCTTTATAGGTCTTGAAAAGTCTTTGATTGTTTATTAACAATCCCATTAATGATCTTTTGACCAAAATTTGATTGTTGTGTCTTGAGAACCTGAAATAATAATATCTTCTCTAATTGGATGAATAAGTAAATTTGTCACTGAATCAACATGTCCTTTCAATCTTTATTAAAGTCCATAATAAATAGAGCCATCTTGCTTTGGTAACTTTGACCATATTATTATTGAATTATCAACCATTGATGAACCAGATATGAATGAATCATTTAATTAAGGGAGGTTAAAGAATTTAAGAGATACCACATCATTTGAATGTTCTTTAAGTTTTTAAATCTCTTTCAGTTATCCTGGTTGTCCATTTATGTAAGGGATTTCAAATACTTTAATCTTACGACCTGCTCCTATGATTATAAGAGTTTTTTTCTAATTAATTGCATTGGCATATGAAATATGAGTCATTTTTATAGATACTTCTGGTAGAAGTTCATATATATTTGTATTTTATTTAGGATGCTGTAACATAATATAATTTTTAATTTGATTTTAATGAATTCAACCAATTTATTCCATAAACATATATAAATTCATTTAAATTATAATGTTTATCTATCTCTTTTTTTTGTCTGAAGATTATTTCAATAAAATACTTATTTAATTTTTTTAATATCTCATCAGATAATCAGAATTTATACAAATTTCATGAGTATCTTGAAGATTCAACTAACTAAGCAGAATATTTATAAAGTATTCTTAAATTATTTGATAATACTTAGTATTTGTTGTTAGGTTAACCGATTATAATTTTTAATTGATAAATAAACTTGAAATTTTCAATTTTTAGGAGAAAGCTTTACATGTAATATTAGTTTAATATTCCAATGATTCTCAAATTGAGACAATATTACATAAATTAAATAATTAATGTAATCTTACAATTGAAGTTTAATAAAGTAGAAGTATCCAATATTGTAATAAAAATTTTTACTAATGTTTTTCTAATTTTGTGTTATTATATTTAAACAAGGATACTAATAAAAATTTTCTATAGGTTAATTTCTTAATTCCCATTTACATATAAAAGAAGAATTATAATTATTAAGAAAAACTGTATATTTTAGTATTTAATTTTAATATAATCTAGAATTAAAGGTAACCGCTCCATCCTAAGAGTTTTTAATCAATTAAAAATGTGCAATATTAATTTTTAAGACTTTAAAGTATTCACAAATCTTCCAACATGTTATTTTGTTCCAATACAAGTCAAAATACTGTTACTTATTTTAGAATCAGTTATAAAGAATAAATTTCTATGGTTTGGTTCTAAAGAATGAATGATAAAGTACAAGGAAAAAGATTTATTCAATAAAAAATTATTATATTTTAAATTTAATGTATGATAAAAATGTTTATAGACCTCTGGAAATTTGCATGATGTTTGGGAATAGTAAATGATATTTTTAAGGTGGGTTTGTAATTAAAAAATGATAATTCTTATAATAGAATTTGGAATAATAACTTTCTTAGTGATCATCAACTTCATATCTTATTGAATAAAAATTAAGACTTATTTATTCTCGACAGAGTGGTTCT